TCTTGCAGAGATCTTCTACTGATGAGAATTGAACATCGAAGGGTCGTCTAGTTGAAAAAATACATTGATAAAAAAGTTCTGAACTCTACTTTTTGGATTTTTTTCAGAAGTCGTCTTGTTTTGAAATGAATTTATTCCATACATTTGAATCATACTGTATATGTGATATATACCCGGAAAAAAAGTACTCACTTTTTTCCCACGGTAATAAAATTGATTTGTGAAAAGTATGACATTTTATAACTTGCCAACAGAGATGAAATGCCAAACTTTTTTACCGTCACAAAAAAAACGGTTTTTTTTTCAGGGGTTTTCTATTGTCCAAAAAGTCCAACTCTTACGTTTCTCGCTATATCGACATGAAGGGTGTGTTGAATCGATATGACACTATACATTATACATTTCATTTGCATAATTTTCTGTTTCCTGAAAATCATGATTGCAATTTGAAACAGGACATTTAAATAGATTGCAATCTTGATTCTTGTACAGAATATTGTACAATAATAGTTATTTATGTACCAGGGGTGAAGACTGCCTATTATAGTCGGGTCTGTAAATTGATAGCCGAAGCCTCAACCGAGGCTAGCAATCTGGCAGGACAATTTTTTTCGTCGACCTCAAACACTTATATTTACATCACTGTCCTATTCACACGTGAAATCTATCGGATTTGCAACCTTGCAGCGGACGTTTTTCGTTTGAAAATTAGAACGTTCTTTATGAATGAAAGTATTGGTATTATCCCAATACATTTGTAAAATAAAGAAATCATGATTTACTCCAAAATAAAGGAATCATGATTTGCTCCAAAGGAATCTTCCCTGAACTCTGTTTGAGAAATGTTGAAGAGCAATAAAAGTCATGACTTTCAAATTTTCACTCATCTTATTTGGACGTTCCGGGAACGAGTCTGCTTTCGATTTCAACATCAAAATGGGAAAGAATAATTTTCCATTTAGTGAAATTTCAAATGGAACGTCTCGTTTGACCCAATTTTCGATTCGCCCAATTTTAGATTCACCCAATTTCCGATTTACCCACCGTCTCCGAACATACCCGAAAGATGCATTGTTGTCGAATAATGCTACATTCCTCGGATTCAATGGAACGGGAATTATCAACAATCATTTCACATTCAATTATGTCGTTGAGCCAACATTTCGTTCCACCCAATGTTCGATTCACCCAATTTTCGATTCGGCCGAGTTAGGTAGGTTAGGTAGGAAAGAAAGTACGGATTTTTCGGTATTTTTTTAGACATCCTGTGGACTGAATCACTGATAATTGAAACGATTTCTCAACACCAAATTGGAGCCCAATCTATTCCGAATATTTTCGTTTTTTATTCATCTTGATATCTCAATTATCTAAGAAAATACAGAGTTTCAAAGGAAAGGTGGATATTGGTATCAATTTTACACCTCAAAACTCAAATTGGATCTGAAAATGTGTCGTTTCTTGACTAACCTAACCTAACCGTGACTAAACCTCTGCCATAGGAGACAAATTGTTCATTTTGTTCACCTCGGCGATATAGTCTTTCCCTGCCATCTATTGAATTGGTGCAGATGCGGCTTTCATATGTTAAAAGAACATTGGCCCACTGGTCATTTTCAATTAATGCTACAGCCTTCGCCACATCAGTAGGAGTCAAATATCTCATGTTGAATTTTCATTAATCAAATTTATGAATTGTGAATCGCTTGACTTTGATAATAATTAATGACATTAACAAAATAGCAAACGTTGATTAACAAAAATAGCATTTCACCAAAAGAACATTGAAGCAACTTTTATCACCCCTGCATATTCATGAGAGTATTCGTATATGTGTCTTTAAACAGTAAACCGATAGGTAAAACTGAACAGTTCTCATCTTGAAGGAAAAATCCTCACAGAAACAAGTTGAAAAACGACACGTTCTCCCCAGTTCGAGTTTCGAGGTAGTAAAATTAATACCAATATCCACCTCTTCTTTGAAACTCTATATTTTCTTGGATAATTGGGATATCAAGATGAATCAAAAACCAAAATATTCGGAATAGATTGGGCTCCAATTTGGTGTTGGAAAATCGTTTCAATTATCAGTGGTTCACTCTACTCCACTCACTCCTAATTGTGCCAGTGTGTGTATTAGGTCAAAATTCGAGTCGATCGAAATTTGGGTCAATCGAAATTTGGATGAATCGAATTTGGGTGAATCCAAAACTGAGTGGATCGAAAATTGGAAAAATCGAAAATTGGTCGAATCGAAAATTGGTCGAATCGAAAATTGGGTGAATCGAAAGCGATTTTGATTTTTACCAGCAATGCATTTTTAGAGTTATCGCGCTAAAAATAATGATAGATTCTTTACAAATAAATTAGAAATATGTTTTTATATGTACATACTTTTTGAAACGAGACAATTCTTTTTAGGCAGTGAAAATTGATTTCTCAGGTTGAAAACGTAATGAATAATGCATTGTGTTCTGAACTAGCATCAGTATAAAAATAGTTATTTACGTGACCACTTAGAAAACGAGTAATTTTGTGTAACGATGGGATTTTGCGGGACAAGCGAAATTAGTAAAAATATATTTATGAATCTACAAACTTTACACCCTGTGTATCGCATAGGATTTCCACTCATGTGGCCCTCTTCCTCCTAATCCGGTTATCTGGACCATGTGACGTCACGAGATAGCCACCTTCCAGATTCAACCCCTTCGATCTGAGATCAGACGCGAACATTATATAGTAGGCAGTGAAACAGCTGAGTTTGATTATGTGTCTTTTTTGGACGAACGCTCTTGGAAAACTCAAGAGGAGTGCAGTGATTTAGTGGGAATTTGGAATTTGTGAATTAAATTGAGTGTTTCTCGAAATATGAATTACTGGGATTATTATCAATATCATTATGGATTCGACATTTACCAGGTAACAATCCATCAATTGTTTGATAGCTGGTTCTGATTTTCTTTGGAACATTTTAATTCTTGGTTATTGACTTGAAGTTCTGAAATTTCAATGCAACACCAAGTATATTATATTATTAGTGTGATGCAGTAAAGACAATTCCAGATCATACCTGACTGGAGTGTTGACGTTTTAGAATTTTCGGATTAGAAGTAGCCTCGAAGACCAAATTGCCTCAACTCTGTTTTTGATAAGTTAGATCACTAGATTACTGAGCCAATTCGATTGCAACAACAATACAAATCAAATATATATTGGGTGACGGTGACACATGTCAAGCAGTTTATTTGTTTCAATAAAATATTTTGAAGCCTATATAGTTTTGTGTAATAATAAAAGCGAATTGATATTTGTGAAAAAATATTGTGAAATTTGTTTTTGGATGTATGAAAAATTGGTATCCATCATACAGGACGTGAAAAATAATTCTGAATTGAAAAAAACTAATCACGAATCTGCGATTGAAGGTCTAATAAAGAAATAACAAGTTTCCATCGTTCAAGTTTGAACCCCTTGATTGGGTGAAATTATTGAGCAGGAATGTTTTCAGATAAAATTTGAACATAAAAAATGAATATATTCATATATATATGAAGAAATATATTGAGAATTTGTATTCTCTATGTGATGGAAATATCAATTCTTTATCGGTTTATTCAACAGAAAACAACTACTTTCCTTGCTGTGTTCAATAGATATAATTCAATATTCGTCGTGGCATATAGCTTAGGAAAGTAGTTGTTTTTTGTTAAATAAACCGATAAAGAATTGATATTTTCTTCACATAGAGAATGATGCGAATTCTCAATGTATTGTTTAGACCTATGACCGCAATCCGCATGCACTATATCTCAACGATCCGTAAATAATAAAATGAAAACAAAAATTCATTTTTCACTATTCATATTTCAACATACTTCAACATCTTCAATCGATGAATGGCCTGTAGCCTGTACTCTTGTATCGTGACTGAATGTCCATTGAAATCGAATTTCAAACAACTCAAACAAGTATGTAGGAACATCCCCAAGTGCGTGTTTCTATTGGCCGGAAATACTTTTCCTAATGAAAAGTATATGTGGTTTCATGAGCCAAAATCAGTTTCAAAATGAAAATCCGTGTTGAAATAAACAATATTCGGTAGAAAATATTCAATCCGCGCGTTATAATATGGGAGTAGCAAAATAATCATAGGGGTTGATATTTTATAACGTCAGCCGGTATCTACAACTATCTCTATCATGTATCTATTGTAGGAATTATTATTTGTAGATCTGAATTTGGCGCCGAATACCATAAGTAATGTTTTTGAAAGTTTACGTATTTCCGATGTTCTGTGTCATATAGTAGAGGAAGGGGAGAACAATCTTTCTATTTCTGTTTTCGTTCAGATTTGGTCTTCTTGGTAATGGCTACAGTGAAAGAGCCACGAATCATGATGTTTGAAAAGTTTTGTTGTGTATCAAATAAATCAAGTCATCTTAGTGGAACTGAGTTTTATTATTATCACCAGAAGAGCCCTACACTATAGACTAAAACATATCTCAAAAATGCGATCGAGGCGAATGGGAATGATTATTTTTCGCGAATAATTATCCTCAAGCTATCTTTGAACTACAAATAGAGAGAAACTCAAAAGTCATTACCACAATAGTTCATGAAATGAATGAAAATGGAAATCGCAAGTGTGACTTCCTCCAGACCGGTTTCGAGCTGTTTTAGGTCTCATCAGTACAGGGCTATCCCAGATAGCTTCTTGACCGCTATATCTGGTGCGAACCTGACCCAACGTACACGCATCACAGCATTTATACCCCACGAGGCGTTCAACGTCCGCGAAATGATGAATGATGAATTCGTCCATTTTATGAACTATTGTGATAATGACTTTGAGTTTCTCTCTATTTGTAACCATTGCATTCCAATTTGAGTATTTTGGCTTTTTCCTAGTTGTTAAACTGTGTAAAAAAACTGCACAAAATCGTCAAAACTTGACAGTAACAAAATCCAATCGAATTACAAACTCCCATCTCTTCCAGTCGGGCCAGCAGCAACCGTCCTCCAGCAAACCGCCCTCTAGCGGCGGCTCGACGGGGGGCGGCACCTCCGGCCCCCAGGCCAAGGTGACTTCCGCCTCCGCCACCAGCACCACCAAGCCGGAGCCGAAGCCTGTCGAGTGCAACCTGTGCCACCGGAAGTTCAAGAACATCCCGGCGTTGAACGGCCACATGCGGTTGCATGGGGGCTACTTCAAAAAGGTCAGTAAGTTGTAATTAGATTATTTTCCAATTGTTTTTTCTTGTTGGTCCCAGCACGGGTTCTGGTACCGACGCCCCAACCACTCAACAGCCAGTGGCTTGGCCCAGGTTACCACGTAGCAAGCACAAACATCCCTGAGATGTTTAGATTTTTTTTATGTTCTGGTTTCCATGGAAAGGTATATCCTGTAGCATCGTGAGAACCAAGGAAGATAAGGTAGGAATCGGTGTCCTTCTTGGCAATGTGTTTCAGAGCCTCGCTGTTAGTTGGAAGAACGAGTCTTTGGAAAGAGATGTTCTGCAGGTCTCCAAAGTGACCACGAAGGGGTGCGAAGCCCCAACTCGACGAGTTAATCTTGCGGGGACTGCCAAGGGAAGAACAATTGCTGATATTCCAGAAGAGCATCGTCCACGAAAATATCTATAAAATAGAGCCAGATCGCCAACTTTTCTACGGTGTTCCAGAGAAGTGAGTGAGTTTGTGAGCGAGGCATCACCCACGAGACGAATTGCCCTTTTTTGGACAGAATCCAACAGTTTCAGGGTATGTTTGGGTGCTGCACTCCAAATATGGGAACCAAGTTTTTTGAGATGCACTTCTAGCAATTGATCTCACGTGATTTTCCCAAGACTGGTTATTGCTGATAGTAATACCAAGCATCGAAATGGATGTCAAGCTTATATTGGGCACAGTGAGATCGGCTTTTCTAGAGAAAAGGCATGTTCGTGTTTTGTATGCATTGAAATCTACCAAGTTATTGGATCCCCATTCGAGAATCGTTGCCAAGTCCATATTTATGTTGTCAACATTTCGTCCTCGTTCGTTTCTGATTTGCCTGGCTGGTAATGGAGCCCTGGAATAGAAGGCGGTATGGAAGGTACTATCATCCGCGAAGCTGTGTACTGGACATGAAGTTGCTTCCAACAAATCGTTGATATGGAGTAGAAATAGTCTTGGTGCTAGAATTAATCCTTGCGCAACACCAGCATTTATGATAAGAGAGTCAGATGAAACTACGTCGCCCACTACATGGAGAGACCTGTTTGAGAGAAAACTAGCTAGCAGAGAACATAGCTGGGGAAGCAAGCCATAAGATGGAAGCTTGGCGAGGAGTCCGTGGTGCCAGACTCGATCAAATGCCTTGGAGATATCAAGTGCCACGGCTAAGGTTTCACCATTTTTTCAATAGATTGCTGTCATATAAGTGAGACTCAAGCGAGCAGGTCACCAGTTGACATCTGATGACGGAAGCCATAAGATGTTTTTTTGAGACGTGATATGCATTCCCAAAGAGGTCTTTGAAGGATATTGAAACTATTGTTTTTGTTCTTCTGTGGCATTTCCTTGTTTGCCTATTGAGGAAGTATCCCTTTTGGGATGTTTCAAGAATGTTGGCATGAAGAAGTATTCGAAGGATAGTGAAAGTATTGTTTTTGTTCTTCTGTGCCATTTCTTTGTTTGCACCATCACAATGTCTCATGCAGCTTCCACGTCACCATACGACGAATTCTGATTTTTTTCCGAGTTTGTTGTTTTTGTTCGCATTCGCGTTTGTAGCGTCTTTTTATTCCACTGGAGCTGCAAAATACAAATCTAATTAGCTACCTATTGACCATACGATCCTCAACATCCTGTGTATGTGGCTGATGGCTTTCGATCAGATTTAAACACAGTTCATGGAACATCAAAGCAGCGCCCCTTTTTGCCTGTACTAATTCCACCCCTAATCCATTAACTCCACCCCATTGCTTACCCAATAAATGTATCGGTTAGATCAAATGGAAATATCCTATGTACAGGGTAACTCGTTAACTATATAGAATATATACTGAAAAATGGAAGCGACATTCTAAACTAATAGTGGAGCAAATCAAGACACCAGATTAGTTCAGAAATCAATGGGAATTCCGGAAAATCTTAACATTTCAAAACAAGCGGTGACGTCCCATTCAAACTCAACAGTGTTCAGTACAAATTCTATAGGAAGGCCACTTGTTGAAATCAGGAAATTGTACATCAGAATAATATGCCTTCCGATGCATAGAAAGTACATACCAAATTTCACATGAATAACTGGATTAGAAATATCGAATCCTTTGGCACCATATTCACACTACAGTAGTAGGAGTACCAGAAGGATAGATAACTCCCACCCCTCCACTTTCGTTCGTTACGAAACCTTTAGGAAAACGCCACGAAATCATCACGCATGCATCCTAGCATTCCTAGCTGCGAAAATCGCAAAAAACGTGGAAAAACGACCCATATTTCGCTACTAGAATCTTCAGGAGAATATTAAAACTGGTGTAAAATCAACGTTATATTTATTATAATAGTATATTATGTAACAAGTGTTATAAACTTCCTTTTAGTAACGAGTATTTGATTTATTTACATACTAACTATACTTATAATCCCTTATAGAAAAATTTGTTAAACACAGTGACATTTTGGGGCAAATCATCTGATTCGTCCTGCCACACATATATTGAAATGATTCTTATATTTTTTCTCTTAGAAACGAAAGAGAAAATTCCAAATAATCAAGTAGATCACATGAATCATAATTCCTCTCCTCATCGACAAGATCATTTACATAACTGATAATACTATGCAACTGCAACTGCATGCAACCAACGAGACACGTATGTGGCCAGGTTAGGTGAGGATACATGAATGGCTTGCTCACCAACTTTTGTGAATAAGAAGTTTTAATCTGACGTAGAAGATAAAAACTCTTCGATTCGTTGAGGTATCAAAGTTTTCGATTTTTCGAGTTTGTAAGCATATTCTGATTGCAAAATTTTGCTGACTGATAAATATTGTGTTTTACGTTTAAATTTATTGTAATTTAGCATACTAAAAGAATTGATTCCCCACATATTTCACATACATTTTTGATGAAAAATTCTGATATTTCTGATTGCAACAAAATTTCAAATTGACAGTTCACAGTTTCTACAATTGACAGGCTGGACAGGACAGGACTCGAATGACTTAAGGTGTGTTTAAGAAATTGTGTTGCTATGGTAACGTGTTAAATTTTTTGAATAAATCACAGATCATCTATCCGTCAATCTCGATCATTTAGTGTGGTACATATTCGTGTGCTAAATGCCATGTTAGTTATGTGAGTAGAAAAAGAATATTTTTGAAAAATTCACCATTCTGTAGTTGAGACGTTTAGGACACCATAATTGAACGGTTTGTCTAAAAATCCAAACAAAAAGTCATTGGGTCACCCGTTATCAGAACTCCGTTATCACCCCCTATATCGGGAATCGAGCGCAGAACAAATCGATCTATCGACATACCCGCAGGGCACAAACATTGACTGGTTACAGCCCTTTCCAAAACACAGCCCAAACAATAGTGGTTGAAGTACATTATCTGAGCTGGAAATAAATGTACTTTCGACAAAAGGCGGAGGTGGAATCACGGTAGAATGGACGAGTTCAGCAATTCATTGCAAACCATCAATAGCTACAAAAACGTCTACCACTGAGAACAGATTATTTTCATAAAATATTGATACCTTTTTCTCCTTATCGATTATTGTGTCATCCAGGAAGTCCCCGGCGTCTGGATATCTGGAAATTATAAAAACTGCGATATCAAGTCATTTTGAGGTTATTGTAAGATGAATGACACATTTTGGTTTTGTTCTGTGATCCCTCTGTGACAGTATTTGAGGTTAATTCAAAACAAAACTACAGTCGTATTCAATAAAAAAGCGTAAAAGTATTAAAAAGAGAGGATTCGGGATCCTATATAGTTCTAGTTGTGTAAAACTGGCTCAGCCGCAATGCTTTGTGTTTTCTAGAACCTATGACAACTTTACTGTCATCATTTGGTGAAAAATCATTCCCGATAGCCCGTTTTATGCAGAATAGGATGACGTCAATTTCTCTCTGCAATATACTTGTACGCTTTTTTTTAATGCGACTGTACATGAAAAAAGAAGAGGTAATGAGAAGTTGAGTAGTTTCTAGTACCTAGGTACATTTTGGAAAAAGAGATAATGAGATTATTATGCAAATTTGGTTTATTTTTCCGATGATCCGTCCTTTCTCCTCTAATAAGGGCTCAAATATAATACTTACACGGGTACTCGGGTACACAGGTACTTCTGTAATGTCATTAATGTCTGAATCATAGATAAACTAAAGCAAATAAAAATTTTGAAAACAGTGACAGGGGGCACAGAACATCACGACATCACGAAATAAAATGAGTGTCAGTTTTTACAGGCAGCCATTATGATGAACTGAAATAACCTCAAAATCAGTTCACATCAGAGTTTTGATAATTTCTCGTGATTCGAAAGTCGGGGACATCATGGATGATACAAAAATCGATGAGGAAGAAAATGACATCAATATTTTTTGAAAATATCCTGTTTTCAGTGGCAGGAGTTTTAGCTATTTGCAAGGTTGGCGATGAATTGCTGAACGCGTCCATTCTGTTATAAATATAGCTTTTGTAATTACTCAGCTACCTGGCTACACAGATTAATAGGTCCGTCTTTTTTGATCGTGAAGCACAGAAAAAAAATTCAGAAGAATTGAACATGACAATCCAATCTGGCCGTCATGCAGTTCCCTTTGACTTATTATCAGTCGAAAGTTCTGTACAAGTTAATGATGCAAGTTTTAATTTTTCATCAATTTCTGGCACTTTAACTTCCAATTCCGGCTGATCAAAGGCATTCGATCCTGAAGAAGAAACAAGACTCCCCCTTTGTAAATTTCTGGTTCCGCCCTTGTCACGGGGTATAATTTTCCAGGGATCGTTGAGAGAGTAATTAGTTCGGATGGCGAAATCGATTTTCGGATTTGTTTGATGTTTCAATATCGAAAATTCACCGCGAATAAAATCGTGTTTCTGGGGGATTTGCCATCACTCGACAATTTAACGAATATTGATGCATAATCTGCCATCTATCACACCGGGTGATTTTTTTCAAGGGAAACAGAAGATAAGATAGGTGAATACAATATGCCCACCTTAAGCGATTAGTTTTGTTAAAAATGTAATTGTGAATAGCAAGTTACGGCAAACACTTCATGATAAAGTTTAACATATTCAGAACCTAAAAAAAATTAGTTGCCATGAAGAATTGGTTTGTAACATTTTTTATCCAATTCGGAAAAAAAAAGTGTAGATGGCCATATTGCCAACACGGTGTCGACAATATGGCCATGCATACAAAAGTCGAGAATTATTAAAAAAAGAAGATGTAATACTTGTAGCAATAACTGAAACGGACGTTTAGCAATATTGCAAATGTAAATTTGTAAATGTAACGTTCCTGCAATGTCACAGCAACACGTAATATTGCTGCAAAGCAACATTATCAAACGTCACATTTGCAATATTGCTGAACGTCCGTTTCAGTAATTGCTTCAACATTGCATGAACATAGCTTTCAACTTTGCTCAATGGGTAGCGAAGCAAGTGTTCAATAAAAAGAGTAAATCGTATAAATCATCCATACTCAAAGTGGTCCAATATATTTTCAATGAAAATAAAGAAAACTCGATCGGTCGACCACACCTTATGTGAAAAAATAGTCAATTGAACAGTAACAGGTCATTTCTGCACAACGGCCATCATCATCAGACTGCAGTACCTAAAATGAATGTAGAAATTGTAAAAAATATTTGCCACAGGAAAAAAATACCTTATAAAGTCACAATAAATAATACAGAAGTTGATACATCATTGGGTTGACCATCAAGGCAAGTCGGGTGGAGATATGTTTAAAACGGTTGAAGAGCCAGAAAAATCTGGTCCTGATGATGTTGAACATTGAAAAACTAAGTTTTTTAATACAGGCTCAAATCGTCACATTTCATTTTATATGAAATACCTGCAATAGGATTCAGTATTTTCTTCAAATGATCTATATGTTGAGTCCACGATAACTGTCGATCAATATAAAGATCTAAAAATTTTGTAACATTTGTATATTCACTGGATTTGGTATCGAAACATATCGGGGTATTATTCAAATGTCAGTTGTTCTTTTTGAGATGTACATGTACGTATAGATTCATCATAATTAGGAGTCAACTTATTGGTCGTTAGCCAAGATGACATTTGTCTCAAATGATTTTTAATATCATTATTGATATCGTTAAAATCTTTTGAAGTATAGATTATATTGCTGTATCATCTGCAAATAATTTTAGTTTTCCTTTCAATTTCAAAGTAGATATCGAGTTAATGTGAATTAAAAATAAAATTGGCCCCAAAACTGACCCTTGTGGTACACCACATGTAATATATTCATCAAGGGAATACAAGTCATATTAACATCAACATACTGTTTCCTATTCTTCAAATCATTTATAAGGGTGGGATGCGGCATAGTCTTCATGGGTAGATCATAACTGAATCTGAAAACTTGTTACAGGACTCGGAGAACAAAAAAAACGAGAAGAAAGACCCCACCGGCCCCCCACTCCAGACTGCCAGCTTCAGCGTGCGCGCCCTCATAGAAGAGAAAATCATCAACAAGCGCAACACCCACACCCCCCAATCCACCCCTGCCACTCCGCAAGAAGAGAAAGCCGCGCCGCCGCTCTTCCCCCTCGCCGTGCATTCCACCTCCTCCTCCTCATCCTCATCCTCCTCCTCCTCATCCTCCAACAACACCGATCTGGAGTCAAAGATCTCCTCGTTCGTCGTGCCCGCTCCGCCGCAGAATACCGAGAAGAACCGAAGACATTCCGACGCAGACACGTTCAGGTACGAAAGCGCAGCGTTGCCACAGCTCGCTCGATTGAGCGAGGTCTCGCTCTTTTTGTCACTAGTTCTCTCGCTCCTCGGCTCATTCTCCGCGGCACCGCGAATACCACCCTTCACGTACGTCCCCCACTCGAATCTGGAAGATCGGATACCAATTGGAGGAGTGCCTAAACCTTTCGAACCATTCCCATCACGTGATATGTAAAGATTCGTGGTTTTTGATGATTATTTTTCACAATTTTTCTAGTTAGTTCAGTATCTGTGAAGAATTTTGTTGATTAATTTCAAACCGTATATCACGGAAACGAAGAGTATCCCTGCAAAAAAATTTCTCTATAGGAACCTCGTGATTTTGTGTGTCTGAATTCATAAAAAAGTCTGAATTCAAAGAGAGAAGCCTGATGAATTCAGAGAAGAGTGCGAGTTCAGAGAAAAATTTCGGAATTTATGAAAGAAAAATCTTCTGGTTATAAAAGAAATTCCGAGTTCAGAGAAAATATCCTGAGTTCAGAGAGAAAGCCTGAATGTAGAGAAAAAAATCTGAATTTCTAGAAATAAGTCTGCATTCAGAAAAAAAAATCTGCATTCAGAGAAAAAAAGCTGCATTCAGAGAAAAAAGCCTCAGTTTAGAGAGAAAAGTTTGAAATCACAGAAGAAAGTCTGAATTTTCCGATAAAAAAGTCTGAATTCGGAGAAAAAGGGGGCCACTGATGAGGAATGAAATCCGTCCAAACCTCTTCCAAGCGCTGAATCATGATTTACATTTAATGTATAATCAATATTATAAGTTGAAGTTGAAGGGAATCGAATCCATAGTGTATTGAAATCATTCGATATTTCAAAAAGCCAGATGTGAAGATGGAGCCGTGACTCATTAGTTCCGAACTGTAGCTATCTCTATCTGATACCTTGCCATTCTGTAGTGTTGCAGTGTGATTGATCACCTCAAGGAACTAATACGCCACACGAAATGAACATATATTATTTTAGTTCATTTTTTTATCGCCCTAGCATGAATGGGAAAATTCGAAATAATATTTACTGGTAGTTTTTTGGTATAGAGCTCCTTTTAAAAAATCAGTGGACTTCCCCATAAAGAAAATAGTTTGAATTAAGAGAAGAAAGTCTGAATACAAATATAAAATGAAATACACACATCACTGACTTTTCTACGCTTTCGTATTCAGAAGCTCCAGCAGTACGCAACAGGAGGCCCAAGCGATAGCCGACTTGATCCTGAAGCGGGAGAAGGCCACCGCCAAGAGGACCACTTCCGATCCCGGCCGGCAGAGTTCGCCACTCATCCAGTTCCAGGCCAGCGATTCGTTCACGCTGGCCAATGTGACTTACCAGTCGGAGGAAGCGGAGTTCATATCGTCCAGCCTTCAGGATGAGGTCTTCACGCAAGTCCAGGACAGTATGCTACTCCAAGGTAGGTGTCATGGATTTTTGCTTGAATCTCTATTCTCTCGGTGCCTGTTACATAGTTAGTTGGCACCCCTGCCAACCACAGACATTTAGTTGCATTTTATTTAACCGATTCCGCCACCGGAATCACTTTAATGTGTCGTTTTATTTGCAACTCTTCTGATTCCAGTTGCTACTTTTCATTCCGTCTCACTACAATGGATGACGTGAATGACTGTTGACAGTTGTAAAAAAAATGAAATTTTATCGACAAAATGACGAAACTTTTTGAAAGTAGAAGAAGTTTAGAAGGCATTATCCTGATTCTTTCAAGTGAGACAGGTTTTATTATTTCATTCACAGATAAAATTTATTCTCTCGATTTCAGAGAACTTCCTCCAATCACCACAATCACTGCTCCAAATATGCATTGATTCATTTTCTTGATTTTCAAGTCTAGTTACGATTTTGAAATTATTTCGAGCCCCAATACATAAATATAACCAATAACATCTATGATATGTCAATTTATCTCATGGAATGATTGCAAGGTTTCATGAAGTTTCTTGTTTTATTTGTTAACGTCATTCTGTTCCCACCACCGTTAAACAGTCGAGTATTTTATTAAGGTCATCCTCGACTACAAAGCCTACAAGTAAAACTTTATAACTTGGTGGCAGCGGTGGGATTGGTATAGGTAAGGTCTTAGTGGTTTTGAAAATTTCAGGTTTAATCCGCATTATTATCCTAACCCAGCCAACCATGAGATCTATAAGTGATGTATACAACACATCACTTTGTGACATGCGATATCGCATTTGAAGTCACAAACACGTTACCGATACAACGTGGCGATGTGAAAATGTCCGACTCGAGCAACATCACTGTGACGTCGTTCAGACATGAAATGCGACATCACATGGAAAATCATACCAGGTCACATACAAGTGTACATTTCATATTACAAATACATCACACTACGACATCGATGATGTGGTCGCCGTACCTGTGATATTCGTGGGATATATACTAATAATAATTATTCAGCTTTACGAAGAAAATGTTTATTTTCCGAAAGTAAAAACAGATGATACAAAACTTATCATGACAATCGCCCTAATTAGTAATCTTGAAGTAAAACATGACACATATATTATATAGCAATACAAATATACATTATTCATAAATGATACATACCGAATACACTTACATTATCTTGGGATCTTTCATCCACCTTGTTTTAGATTGCAATATTCCTATCTCAGAGATAATTACAATATTACCTATTGTGATTGAACTCACCGTCGTTCCTTAATGATTGTATACCTCCAATTTGAAGCTGCTATAATCTGTGCTATAAAATCATCTCAGATATTTCAACAGAGAATTTGGAAGGAAATAGTCTGTACGGAGTGGGACTCACTCACTGACTGACTGACTGACTGACATGACATGGCCATGCACAGCTCAACATGGCGTCTGGCGTGTGCGTTCGTTTTGTGCATGTCTGCGTCACACTCACAGGTCACAAAGATATCTCATGAGGATATCAATGTGAATTATTTAGTTAACGTCGAAGAGATGTAGGTTGAAGAAATCGCTGCCACATTACATAGTTTCCTGGTTGCGATGTCACCTTGCGACGTTGATATCGAATCTACGTCGATAAGATGTGTAAACGAGATATTACATTTATGCAAGGCTGTTACATCACACAGTTGTTGATGTCACACGATAGTTTGCTGGGAACAAGTTGGGATGGAATTATATTAGCCTCTGAACCACTCTCAATTTGGAAAGGTATTTTCGAATCGTTAAATCTATTGTTTCTACACACTCATTGCTGTTTTGATTGCTGTCTGTCACTTTGGGAATGGTTATTCCTATTTCACCAATCGAGAAACTGTTCTCATCATCATTCGTGGATCCCCACAAGATAACATTTTTGAATGAATAAACATTCACAAGATCGGAAAAAGGGTGCCAACTAGTTATGTAACAGTGCTCTGGAATTCAAATCATCTCAACCTACTGTGTCTCAACACTGTTTCGGTTTATTATTCAGTTCTTTGCCTTTTCCGACTTACTGACCTTACTGATGTCTCCATACTTATCCAAATCCAAATATTATACTTTGATTATTCTACCATTTTGAGCTCTTGGAGATATTTTGAAGGGTGTCTCAACAAGAGCGCAGGATTTAAATTTGCCGCCATTTTGTTAATACAAATTGTACGATGATTTTTTTTTCAATAGCTGTCAACGACCATCAGCGTGAATTTAGTCTCAAATTTTGTAATCAAATGCCTCACTGTCTATTTATTTGGCGCATTATTGTAAAAAAAACTTAATTGGCGAAATGTTTTCGCAAAACTTTCACTATATATCGAAGACTGGAACCATTGGCACGGAAATACACTACGCACTGTTTTTTCGGTTTGGTTATAGTGATAAAATAGTGCATAGTGGAGAACTTTCACTATTTTTGTAACTTATTTTAACAATAATTGAACTATGTTCGTTCGAATACTTCTTCATATTCTTAAATCGCGTGGTCTGTACGTGAAAACTGTCAAAAAAATCACCGTACAACTCGTATCAACAAAATGGCGGCAAATTTAAATCCGGCGCTTTTGTTGGGATACCCGTTAATAGAGGACTTACCTTTAGAGCAGACAGAAGTTAATTTAATACTCCTTGAACACAGATCCCACTGTCTAGTGAATTATTTTCGGTTACTTCATATGCTTTCCTATTATATTTTCATCATGTCTCGACATCTCGGCACTCACACAAATAAGGTCTTGAAGGCAGGCTCCCAAGCATATATACTTTAATAAGATTGATTCCCTCATTCATCTTTGATCCACCTGTACACCTATCCAATGATTTGAGTGACTCATGCTGTACTCCATCTTATTTTCAACAAGTCATCAGCCAAATGTATGTTCAGTGTCATGATGAGTTTTTTCTTCTACTTGAATGGAGAAGTTTCCTTCAGATGAAATAATTTCGGAATTCTTCAGTTTTATGTCCACGTTGTACATGATGGCGATCGATAAAGTCCAAGTCGTTTTTATATTCAAAATAAAGCAATTTCTAATTTTTAGGGCGGAATAAAACTCTGGCGTACATTCTGCCTTCAGTCTGAATATAGCTGATGAAGAATACAGTTAGCGAATAGCTAAAACGACTCAAAAACGAATAAAAAATACAAGAAGAAGGAGAAGATAACTTTTAGTGTCGTTGTTGATCATATCACAGATTATCATATCATATCATGAATAATAACGATGATCAACTAACTAACAAAACAACAATAATTTGTTGACATAGGATATTTAACAAGTAACTGGAAATCAAAAACCGACAAAAGTGAAACTGGTGCACAGAATCATGCAAATAACCACAAAATCATACCAGCTTTCGGTGTGCCTGTCAGTAATTTGTGTGGTGTGGAAGAGTCCATAGTATATTATGCGCTGTTTCAAGATATAATCTGCAACTTTCCCATAAAATAGATCCGTTCCATAAATTATAATTTCAGTTATGATTGTAATTTTGTAATATAACGAAACCTATTATATCCCATTGCTGTTATCATATAGCTATAGTGTATTCAAAGAACAATTTCCGGAAATTTAGACATATTCCAAAAAGTAGTCACTGATCATGTGGATGATATGGTCATACAATAAACCATTCTATATCTTAGATGTGGATACCAACCAACTAGCCTCCATACAGTTCCAAACAGAGTCATTTCAAGGCCAAAACGAGCAACAATTGCAAGACTTCAAGCTCGACGACATCAGTCTCGAAGAGCCAGGAGTCCAACAGTCGCCATCCTACCAGTCCAGTCACTCCGTGAACCAAGACCTGCAGGCAGTTCTGGACTCCCCATTACCAGAGAGTCTTGCGGAGTTCAGCACCTTCCATACAACTAGCAACATGGATATGCCTTCCCCTGGGTACCAAACGCATTCGCCATACGCTAGGTGAGAACTGAAATTATCGTAAAAGACCTCAGATTCATTCAGAAATTCTATATTTTATAATTTATAATATCGAAAAACTTATTCTCTTCCCTCTCCGAAACTCGCGTGCGACGAAAGAGGAAAGAGTGTCTTGAAATAACATGTATAAGGGATATACTTATGTATTTGTAGATCGCCGCATACTATCACTGCTCAGTCACCGTTGCAGAGTCCTTTGATTAGACATGATTCTCCTGGGTTTGCTTATCCTACGCCACCTGCTAGTCATGAGGGGCAAAGTCCAGGTTTCGGGCAGAGCACTATACTTCCTATGGTGTCTCCCAATGGACAAGAATTTGGACAAATAGTAGAGAGAGGTAGGAACATCAAACATTACGTTCCACTAACTCATGCTTCAATCGTCCCAATTTTATTCAACAGGTGTGTATGAGGAACCCCCTCAAGCATCGTCCCCTTTATCAGCGGCGTTCTTCACCTCAACGATGTCGAGTTCTGAAGCAGTTGAGGAGGCTCTGGAAGAAGTTTTACCTGGCGAACCGATCTACCCCCTCACCAATAGTCCTTCGCCTCAGTCACCTCTCGGTTTGACTCCGGTGCCATCCCCCATCTCCAACATCGTCAGTACTTCGAATACTTCTCCAATTCCATCTACTACGTTCTCCTCTTCCTCAAACACCTCGACTTTTTCTATGTCGAATAGCTGGTGCAACGGTGTCATGCTACCGAACTCCGATGACCCTCTACTCTCCAGCAGCCCTAAGGATTTCATTCCGAAGAAGAAGATAGAGATCAACGGGGTTCCGATGAGGCTCATCAGCAACAACGGTTTGATAGAGCTGAACAGCTCTAATTTCGCTGGGATACTAGTGGATGCCAATGGAGAAATCAAGTTGATACAGACTGGAGGAAATAATTTTCAGACCAAGAATTTTCTGTTGGCGAACACCCAGCTGATCGGTCAAGAAACTGGTGGTGATGACAAAAACAAAGTACAAAAACTGATCAAAACTGTACAATGCACAATACCAACGAAAAACGTTATGCACAGGCCTAAACAAGTCAATGAAATCAAGAGAGAAGATAACAACGACGTTTTCCTTAGTCCTACTTCGTGAGTAGAATCAAATATTTGGAGTATTTAATTTGACCAGTGCCGTTTGATTTTAGGATACCTGCTAGTCCAGTAAAAGTGTCTAGAAAGAGGCCTAGGACAGAACCCCTACAACTGCCAGTGTTACACCAATCTAAATTGAGGGCAACTAGAAGTAAACCGCAAGGCTCCGCTCCATATACACCTCAACCAATACTGAATCCTCAGAGGCCTGGCACAGGACTATTTGCCAATTTGAAAAACAAAGGTACTTAATTCTCTGAATCAGTCCTCTAGGAAGAACTAACATTTTTTTTATTTTTAGGTGATGACGGAGTGAGTTGGAGTAACGACCCTATCCCAGAAAGTGACTCAACACCTCACGTGAATGTAGGATCGAGGTTTCAGTGCAAAATACCCCATTTTTCATCTGTCCCAAGGAAAGATAGTCCGGAACCGTGCTATGAAGATCTCCTGTGGGATCCTGGTATAAATTGTTGCATGGATTCTGAAGGTAATTTTCAGATTTTGAATTGGTTCCTCAATTTTCGAGATCTATAGGTTATAGTATGCCATGCTCTCGTATTCATATTCCGAAAAGTAGTGAAAATATGATTTATGAAATTGAAATTTTGTGCAGTGAAACAGTCAGTTCCTATTTCTTTGTTGTGTGAGTAAAAATCAGATACTAACAATACGTTTTTTAACACATCTGAGAAACAAAACAACAACAGTACAGCGAAGAAACGACCTTTGACTCATTGTGGGCGCAAGGAACTCATGCTATTATAAATACACAGTTGCCAAATCATAAATAAAATCGGTGTGCAAATACGAATGAGTTTATTGAAATAAATATGCCTGACACAGACCAACTTACAAAACTACCTGCAGAGCAAAAACAATTATATGAACTGCTGATGAAGGCAAATCAAAAACAAACAGAGGAAATCAAAAAGGAAATCAATAATACCACGAAAACACTACAAACAGCATTAAACAGAGCAAACAAAGAAATAGACTACTTAAAGAAAAGGTGTGAAGACTTGGAGAAGCAGAACAAAAGGAACAACATTGTAGTTTTTGGTATAGAAACCGAAGAAGGAGAAGACAAACAACTACTTACAAAAACAAAGGATATCCTAAATACAACACTTGAGTCCAATATAACAGATGAACACATAAAAAATATATATAAACTAGGAAGAGGAAAAAACACTCCCATTTTGATTGAATTCGTCACATACTTGAAAAAGAAATCTTTGTATGGAAACTTAGAGAGATTGAAGGACCTCAACAAAAAAGGGTACTCGATCTCGAACGATCTCACGAAAGAGGAAAGGGAAGCCCTGAAAACATTAAAGTATCACCAGAAACAAGCTAGAGAACAAAATTTGGATGCAAAAATAAAAGGTCAAAAACTAATTATAAATGGAAAACCATACTCAGTAGAAGAACTGGAAAACACAACGAGGAAAAACAGTCATTGCGAAAAATATACACAGGACGAGAACACTAGTGACAGTGACAGTGAGAGTGGATCTGATAAAGAGGAGAAAGAAAATAAAGAAGAAGAGAAGAATCCATCCAAGAAAAGGAAGAAAGATAAAACAAAAACTACTCCAGTATACACAAGAAGTAAGAAGAATAGGTATTAACATAGCGTGTAATGCATTAAATACTAGTGGAATAGATACTCTCATTGAACTGAATAAATGAATGAAAATGGATCCTTATGTGAGAGACTTTGTGTTTGAAAAAATAGAAAATTTTCAATTGAAAAACGCGAATGAATTGAAGCAGGTTATGAACATCAATAAACAGTCTTCGAATTTTAAAATTATCCACAACAATATCAGAAGTTTATCTAAGAACTTTGATGAATACAACATTTTTCTCTCTGAATTAGATTATGAAGTTGATTGCATTGTATTTACTGAAACCTTACAGATACCTGATATTTCAATTTTCAAAATACCAGGCTATGTTCCATTTTATAACTCTGGGACGCTGAATCGAAATGACGGTGTAGTAGTATTTATTAAAAGTGAAATCTATCGTTCACATATCATCTATGACATTAGCGATAGTAAGTTGATTCAAATCAAAGTAGTTATTGATGATGATATTATAATAATAAATTCGGTATACAGATCACCGTCGAATCGTGATATTGATAAATTCGTGGATGATCTAGAGAGTATAGTGAAGCGTACTACAGAAAATTTTAAATATAGTTTATTAATAGGAGATATGAATATAGATCTTCTTGATATTGATAATGATTCTCAAAATTATTTAACAGTTCTGAATGAATACGGATTTATATCAGCAATAAATACTACCACACGGCCCTCATCTGGAACATGCATAGACCATATTTTTGTTAATTCTAAAACTAGTGAGTACGACACAATAATAGCTGCCACAGTCGAAACATGTGTAACAGATCACCTTTCAATAGCATTACAAATCGTACTCCCAAATAAAAACAGGAAAAAACAGAATAAACCTAGAATTCTGAAACAATTGAACGAGACGAAATTCAAAAAAATAATAAGTGAAGCAGACTGGTCAGAAATTTTCGCCGATGAAGATCTTGACATAGCAGTATACAAGTTCATGAACAAAATTCATGATGCTATCAAATTATCTGAGAGGCATATTAAAATAAACAACAAAAAATTTAGGAAGAAAGAATGGATAACGGGATCGCTGGTTAACTCCGTCAACATGAAAAATAAAATATATAAAAAGTTAATGAAACAACCGGACAATGAAGAATTAAAAAACGAATATAACCACTATAAAAATATACTGAATAAATTGATAAAAAATGTCAAAGTGGAATACTATAAAAACAAGTTAGCAGAAAGTAATAATTCGAAAAATATATGGAACACTATCAATAAACTTATGAAAAATACGAAGAATGACAATCTCATTTCCCAACTAAAGAATGAAAATAAATTAATCAGCGATCCCGTGAACATTGCAGAGAGCTTCAATAACTTTTTTATAAATATTGGGAAACAGCTGTCGCAAAATATTAAAATTGACAACCATTATCGAGAAAACAAGACCTCAAACCAACATTCGATTTACCTTTTTCCGGCAGAAGAGAGAGAAGTTGAAAATATCATCTTGAACCTTAAAAATAAGAAATCTCCTGGTCCCGATGGCGTAAAATCGGAATTGATAAAATCAATAATGCAATATATCATCAAACCACTATTACATATAATTAATAAATCTTTGAATATTGGTAAATTCCCTATACTATTTAAAACTTCAACGATCATACCAATTTACAAAAGTGGGGATAATACAGAAAGTACAAATTATCGTCCAATTGCATTAATATCAAATTTTAGCAAAATCCTTGAAAAAATCATCAAAAATAGATTAATAAGCTTCATGAAAAAACACAAAACAATATCCGAATGTCAGTTTGGTTTTCAGGAAGGTAAGTCTACTCAAGACGCCATACTCAAATTGACCCAAAAAATATACAATGCAGTTGATAGCAGCAGACCATGTATAGGCGTTTTTCTTGATTTATCGAAGGCCTTTGACACCGTCGATCACCGCATACTCTTAGAGGCTCTTGAAGGCATAGGTATAAGAGGTACAGCACACGAACTGTTCAGTTCATATCTTACAAATAGAACTCAACAAGTGAAAATACAGGACTCGTATAGTAAGGAACAAATTGTCACATGTGGTGTACCACAAGGGACAGTGTTAGGTCCAGTTCTATTCACAATATATTTAAATAATTTATTCCTCGTTGAATCTGTAGGCAACATTATAAGCTTCGCAGATGATACTGTGATTTTATACGAGGATCAAACATGGTCTGACCTAAAAACAAAAATTGAAAGTGATCTTCCACTAATTAAGAAATGGTTTGACAATAAACTATTATCAATCAATTTTAAGAAAACGTACTACGTACCTTTCTGCAGTTATGCATCAAGCCTTCCAGATTATCATGATTTATGTATACAAGGTGAGCTTCAAATCACTTCCGCGAACTCAATTAAATACTTGGGCATAATAATAGACAGTCATATCAGATGGGATCATCAGATAAACCATGTTCTGAAGAAACTAAGATGTGTAGTATATAAAATAAAACAATTTTCTGATATACTTGAAGAAAATCATCTAAAAATGCTCTATCACACTCTTTTTGAACCCCATCTGACATATGGAATTATTGGTTGGGGAGGATTGCAGATATATATGAATAAAATCGAAGTCATTCAAAAACGCCTTTTGAAAATAATTTACAAAAAAGAATCGCGTTATCCGTCAGACCAACTCTATTCAGAAACAAAAATCCTTGATGTTAAACAACTATTTTTTATAAGTATTGCCACGACTCAGTTCGTTAACAAACAAGAATTGATGAGTAGATCTTCTCGATATGATACCAGAGGACAAACTCGATATATTGTTCCATTTATGCATAAATCGGTAGGGCAAAGAAGTTACAGTTTTTTGGGGCCAAAAATTTACAATTGCTTACCTGAAAGTCTGAGAGAGGAAACACAACTAAAATTGTATCGGAAGAAATTGAAAAAATATGTATCAGAAATGACCAGATCGGCTGTACATGAAATTTTAAATATTTGAAATTTAAAGCATTTGTATGTATATGTATGTAGATATACATGTGTGTATGTGAGTTTATAATGATCTGTGAATTTCCATTGATGAAGGTAGAATAGATATAGGTTAGGAAAATGATATATCGACATTCACAATTTTCAATATTCTTTAATGTCAATTATTACCCAATGTTATTTATAAATGTACCAGTTTTACGTCATAGCATTTTCTCCACATTTTGTATTTTCTGTATTTTATTTATATATTTTTAATTCACATTCCGCAAACTTATTTGTTGGATATTTTCGTATTAATATATACATATGTATGTACCTACAAACAAGTATTTTATATACTTCGTAGGATGATCCATGGATCATTATGTTTATTCCTCTACAGAGCTATTGTTTATATAAATTGTACTATTATTATGTAGATGAATAAACCATTATTATTATTATTATTATTATATCCTTTAACAATATGTGGAATTTATATGAAACTGTTATGTTTCAGTTGATATGTACTTGGATTTTGCTTGCTGCGCAGCAGTACCAGGTGGTGGCAGGAACAAAGAATATGCCATGCACCTGCTTCACATGTGCGGAGGAAATATTCACGTAAGTCGTCGAAATCATAACCCATCAATATTTTCTCATCTTAATTTGAGTTACAGGATGCGATGTTGAAGCTGATGCAACCATCTCCTAACCTACCCAATGATCATCCTCTACTCGCTTATCAGTATTGTGAAAGTGACAAGTGGTCGTGCTCGGAAACGGAACACTTTCACAAATCGCTGCTCAAGTATGATAAGGATTTCCATAGTATTGCTCAAGAAGTAAGTACTCATTGAGTAGGCATCCACATTCATAGGAGTATTAGTCTAATTTCATAACCTAACTGAAACTTAGTCACTTCCAATATTTTTAACAAAGTTAAATTTGGTCATGAATTTGTTAAATTCTTTTGACATATCAGTACCCTGCATCTTTCACAATATTTCGTTTCCTTGTATTTCTGTAGTCTTTATTCCACTTTCCGTTGACCGACTGAGATTAAAGTCAGCAGGTGTACTTAGTTCCGTTGACAATGCAATTTGACAGTTTCGTTGCAACAATATTCAAGATGGCGCCTCCAAGATGGTGGTCGAGTTTGTCATATTTCTTCCATTTCGAGTGGAAAAAATTAAATCGAAGAGTTTTCGATGTTGGGGAACAAGAACTTTTAGTCAGAATTTTAGATTCAAGATGGACCCCACAAGATGGCGAAAAATTGTATTTCTCGTGCAATTTGACTGAAAATTTATATCAGTGGGATACTGGAGTTGAGAGAGAAGAATTTTCAGTAAAAATCTAAAAATTCATCTTAGCGCTTCCAAGATGGCGAAAGATTTCGAATTTTGTTTCCGATTCGAATGATAATGTATATCTGGTGATTTCTAAGGTTGAGTTACAAAAATTTCCAATCAAAATTTGAAAATTCAAAATGAGGCCTCCAAAATGTTGACCAAGTTAAATTTTGTTTACATTGATCGTGACTGGGAAAAACTACAAATTAAATTGAGTTCTTTCCAGTGTTGTTGTTTTTTTTTTAGATTCGGACGAAAACCATAAAGCAATGTGTGCAATTTTATTACGTTTGGAAAAAAGTGTGTGCTGACGAACACCGTCGCATAAAACAGCTGAGAGAGCGAAGATATAGCCACTGGAAGGGTTTGGAATCAGAAATGGACGAGAAGGTTTTCGCTGATGCTAAACTTTTAGGGGTAAGATGGAACATACAAAATGGAAAAATATATTAATATGAATAATTCTTTTCTTAGATTGCGGATAGTGGATCTCCTTTGCCAGTACAAGAAACCAGAAATTTTGTGTGTGAATTCCCAGACTGCTCGGCTGTAAGTATATTCTATAGTTTTTTCGTCTCTTGAAAGTGTTGAACTGCTGAAGAAATTGCAAGATGCAAAAACCCTCCACTCAATTTTTTGACAGAGTCGAAAAATAACCTATACATCATTAAATTACTTTTTCGACATCACCCAAATATATCAATAATAATAATTTTTCTGAAAACACAGAGTTGTAATACAATACAATTCACTATCAAATAGCTTGAATTCAAGAAACATATACTCCAGTAATATTGACATCTCATCTCATTTTTATAGGTTTTTTACAATTAGTATAGATTTCAATTAAGTAGGTACTATTGAGTGTGAGACTTATTTCGCTGGCTACTTCATTTTGAGGAGCTATTTCACTTCCAGTCAGCTGCTAATGATCTATAAAGCACAGATCCGACCTGTCCTGGAATACTGTTCCCATATTTGGAGTGCAGCACCCAAACCCTGAAACTGTTGGATTCTGTCCAAAAAAGGGCAATTCGTCTCGAGGGGTGATGCCTCGCTCACAAACTCGATCACTTCTCTGGAACACCCTATCTTATCTATTTTATAGATATTATCATGGACAATGCTCTTCTGAAATATCAACAACTGTTCCTCCCTTGGCAGTCCCCGCGAGATTAACCCGTCGACTTGGGGCTTCGCACCCCTTCCTGGTCACTTTAGAGACCTGCAGAACATCTCCTTCCAAAGACTCGTTCATCCAACGAACAGCGAGTCTCTGGAACACATTTCCAAGGAAGGTGTTCCCAGAGGCTAATAATCTCCAGAAATTTAAGGAGAACACCAATTCCTACCTGATTTTCCTTGGTTCTCACGATGTTCTCTGAACATTACAGGATATCCCTTTTCGTGGGAACCAGAACATAAAAAAAATGCAGAAAATAAATTCACATGGAGATATCCAGTTAACAACTGAATTTTCAGACACCCGATGGAACCAGAACATAAAAAAAAATGCAGAAAAGAAATTCTCATGGAGATATCCAGTTAACAACTGAATTTTCAGACACCCGATTTACACACTATTTTCGGTTTTACGCCTATATATTTGGTTTCCATATACTCCGCATGATTTATTGTATCATATAAAATAGTCTCTTTCCTGACCAATTCGTTTAATTCCTCGAACACTGAATGACGCAGGTCATTCGAGGCATAGTTCTGCCCTGCACTACAATATAGCGCAATTTGCGTTGATGCATTAATTTATTTGTTTACAAAAACGCGTGCTGTCTTCCAATGCGTCACCTATGTTGGCTGCGTCTCACTCAAATCTTAGCCCGGGCTCATTGTTGCACACTGCGCAAGCTCAGAAGTGCAAGTGCGGTAAATCAATTTGGGTCGATATATTTTCCATGCATTTCACCTAGAGTGTACGATTCTGTGGTCACAAGTGACTTTAACTATAACAACTTTTCATTTCAGAGTTTCAACTCGCGAGCAGCGCTAAACGGCCACATAAGGATACACGGTGGCACCGCTCGCAATTCCCCTACCCCCTCCGCTGCCACGACAAGTGACAGGCGACAGCCGCCCGCCCACGCCCAATCGCACGCCCAATCTCTCGCCCACGCCCAATCCGGTCAGTGCCACCCCGACTCGACCGACGAGTACCCCTGCAAGATATGCGGGAAGTAAGTGTACACAAGCGCGCCAACTGTCGATAAAAGACGGCCCCGAAGGTAAATGATCGGTGTGACTTGCGTACCTCTGCTTACGTGCTAATATTATGAGTTTGTACCTGTCTTTTTCGAAATACTACACAACATCCGGTGGGCGGAGCGAGGTATTTTTTATTTCTTCATTTTTTATTTAGTTGGGTAGGGAGGAGAGCTGCAGTGAAGTTCAATGAAAGATTTGTAGCGAGTAATAAAGCTATGCTTTTTGAAGTTGTGAACTAGTATCTCATTGCCAAGTCAGTTTTTCCATTCTATTTACTATCAATAGTTCATTGAGGCATAGCCACCTAATCATTATTCTAAATTCACAATACAGTGTGCGAGTATCGAACTACCCCAACGTCAGCCAAAATTGGAAGAAGGGAGATGAAATGTATATACAATAACTGTTTGAGGAAGATGCACTCAATTCTCTTACTCAATGAAAAGTCATCACAAAGAGTAGTAAACATCAGAGAAAAAGTTCCAAACACTCGAAATGGTTTCTAACCTAATATCAAAACAGCTGGGATCACATTCAATTGAAGTAAGCTGAGAAATCTGGCTGATGAAGATTTTTCGGAGCTGTTTGTTTGAAACATTCCCTATTATATCCCTGACCTATAAACAATAAATTCGCGCATAGGTACCTACCACGTGATTGGCTTGGAAAAGTTGGTTGACGACTATGCGCAGTGCCTATATCGTACTGGGCTAGCCTTGCATAATTTAAAACATACCATATATAGCATTGCTGTTACGGCAATATTGTATCGTATGACATGAAACAAAAATAGCGACATACAAGCAAACTTTTCAGATCAATAATAAAACAGCAGAACACAATCAATAATACATATTATACACAACACACAAAACACAAACAACGTGAAAATGACTGACGACGAACGATCGATCGTGAGATTTCAGAGAAGCCAGCTCTGATAGAATCTACATAAAACATATATCAAAGACATGCAGTTCTGACGTTGATACATACTGCGCAGGTGCCTCGACCAATTTGAATGCTCGCTTGTTGGTCGTCCTTCCATTTGTTTATAGGTCAGTGGTTGATATTGAAAGGTTATAGTAAGTATAACTGTCACACAGCATTGATAAAATGTGACTCTTGTTCGGAATTGAGAATGAGAATAAGAGAATATTCAATATGGATAATTTCCGAGTGGATAAGGATTCAAGTTCGATAGTTGTTTCATCTATTTGCTCTCCTCTCGCTCTCTTTCCCTTTCAATTTTCATCATCTCTCGAGTGACTTACCGAGAGAAAACTGTATTTTTTTATTTTGTTGAAGTTTTTCAATACCTAGTTTTATTTCACTAAAGCATGCACCTTTATATTTTGCCAAAGTTGAGCTACCGGAGTTTACTTTAGTTTGGTCAGTAAGATACATACCAAGACAGTATCACATTACTGAAATAACCTCTTTTTAAAACAAAGCAATTTACAATCATTTTAACAGTTGTTCATGTCAGATGGTTAGACCACAACGTATTATTTCATCTAATGTATTGCATAGTCAATATGAAAAATATAATGGAACAATTGGTTCACATATCAGTATCATTAATGATAATTTTAGACACAAAAATGCACGTGAGCATGTCACAACAAAATCACTGCCGATCACAAAGTCAAAATAAAAAAACGAGCAACATAATACACCGAAACCCAGTTGTTATAACAAAAACTCCTTTGCCTTTCTCAAGAGCTGCTTCTTATTTTGATTTTGAGTTTCATCTTTCATCTTCGTAGAGAACATCATCATTTGGTTTACGCAGAGGTCCAAAAACAAATAAATTGTATTCGATTTTCGAAATCTTTCAACTTTCTGTATAATCCAGTAAATGTACTCCCATAGGTACTTGGTCAAGTTCTATTTTTGCGATTGATACTGGTGGTTTTGCCAAAATACAGTGTGGTCAAAGATATCTTGTCATTTTGTTTTGGATGAAAATTGTTGTCTGAAATTTTGGTGTCGTGTAGAAAATAAAATCTCATTAGTATCAATCGATCAAAGATCGCAGACAGATACAATTGCCTATTTAGACACTTATAACTGTCAATTTAGAGACACTTGTAACTGCTCATTTACACATTTGTAACTGTCTATTCAGACTCTTGTAAATGTCTATTTAGACACTTGTAAATGTCTATTTAGACACTTGTAAATGTCTATTTAGACAATTGTAACTGTCTATTTAGAAGATGGGCGCTAATATTTTCAGTTTTACCAGTTGGCGATACTAGAACGTGACACGTCAATGTCAAAGTCGAAAATCCCAAAATTTTGACGGATAGCCCTAAAGGCTGTGGCCTGTTTTATCGAAAATATTCGGAAAAAATGTTGTGGCCTTTTTGAACAAATAAAAACTCATGTTATGGAAAGACTTGAGCAGACTTGCGTTTTTTACTCTCAATGTGTAACTTTACGACCAATTCTTATATCGACGGAGAAGAAAAGGAGAATTTATATTAGTTCTACCAACTCCGACCACACTAGAGTCACTTTATAAACTAGAGTGGCAACAAAATAGTGATGCACTTTTTGGTTGGTCATCCGCCTGTATTGTTTTCTTCAGTAAGTTCATTGAACTTTTATCACTATTTACGTTAGTGTATATTTCAATGAAGCCATTTCTTCGCATTATTGTCAACCTCGAAATATGTCGAACAGCACTATATCAAAACTCGTTTCTCTATAGAACGGGAAAGCTCTGGAATTCATCGCCTAAGGAAATATTTCCAAGAAATTATAACCTCCAAAAGTTCAAAAAAATCCCAACACCTACCTCCTCTCCCTATCCTCCCTAGGTACGCACGATGTTCTTTGAACATTATAGGGATTCCCTTCCGTGCGCACCAAGCGATAAAAAAAATAAAAAATCGATGTCACTTTTTCACTGTTTCTCTATCTTTGGACCAAGAACATCCAACAATGAGACATGAAACTCTATACGTAGGTCTCAAATTATTCAGATTATGGAATGAAAATAACAAATATCTAACCTAACATTAGGTGTGCGCTTCGAAGGCGTAAATTCATTACTGCATGGGAGATACCCTTCAGATTTTCGGCTATTCAGTGACTGGACCACGAATGACATTCCGGCAACGGCAGTCATTTTTGAGGTCTATTGTCACCACTCTGTTTTATGTCCCCTGTCTCAGTAGCGCGATCTGATGGACAATAAAATAATATTAGCCCTCATTGTGACTGTCAATGAAAGTATATAGTTAGGTACCTATTATAACTATGTCTAATCGGGCAGCGATTTTAGTATATATGCTGTACGCTAGCACAAACCACGCCCACCGTAATATCTCATCTTCGAAGTACTTGGGCAAAACTCAGAGACTATTTATCCTTAACGAACTAACAACTAACCTATCCCTGATTGCAATATTTTTGAGGAAGAAAAACCGAATGGAGTGTAGAAACACATTGATCAATAATATATTTCAAAAGTTGAGTTCTTCATCAAAATTGAATAAAGTCGACAGCGCTAACCAGTAGACCGTTTGGGTATATAAATTTACTGCATACAAGTGATTGACAGCGAGAGAACTTCAGTCGAATTCGTGTCAAAATCATGAAAAGTGTATTCTTGCGTTGGAGAGTGCGATGTGCTGACTGCGAGTATATCGGTAATGTTTGAAGATATGACGTATTATGGTGGGCGTGGTTTGTGCTAGCGTGCAGTATATTCAGTAAAATCGCAATCGGGCAGTTGCAACTGTCGATTATAAAAAAAAAGTAATGTGGGCCTTCTATCACCGCTTGTATGTTCGTTTGCTTCCGTATAAAAAAGTTTGTTTTTGGACCTCTGCTTTGTTGCCGATAAACTAACCCCTCTCTCGTCGACAGAGTGTTCACGAAAATCAAAAGTCGTAGCGCCCACATGAAATCCCACCGACCCCCCGACGCTGAACCGGCCAAAAGGAAAGAAAAAGAGCCGCCTCCACCGCCCCACGCCTACGAGCTTTCCGTGCAGAGCCCCTTCGGCACTTAGGTAGCGGAGCGCTGCCACCCCAATTGCAACAACAAAAACAATCGAATCGAATCAAAGCAGGTAACGGGCATCAAACATCGCAAAATCAATTAATCGGAACAGGTACCTATTTGAAGGTGGAGAGAATGAGAGATCGATAGAGACGTGCAAACATTGAGGATATGGTTTTTAGAAATCGAGATGCGAGTATTATTTTAGTATTCAGAGTGTTGCGAAATTTGGTTACAGCTGTCGTGATTTGATGAAGAATCAGATATGAGAACATGAAGTCGTCGATGACGAGTAAGCAATTTTTTTATATTGAAGTTAAAAGTTCCTCTCCATTTTCAGAACACCCTGTGACCGTAATACACATTTTCCAGTTGTATTTCATAAAGCGTCAATTGTAGGTATTTCAGAAAACGTCAATTGTATTTCAGAATAGTCTATTCAATTTCAGAAAGTGTCATTAGTATTTCAGAAAATATCATTTGAATTTCAGAAATAATAATGTTTATTCAAAATGTTGACAATATAAATCAAAAGTATGAACAGGGTGTCCCAAAATTGCTGGGACACAGAGCAACCACGTATAGAAGAGTTCAAAATAAGTTGATTGGACCCTGTCTCTTCCACTTAGCCACATTTTCGAATATTCCTTTGCGCATTACTCTCTTCCTTCTGCCTGGCTCTCGGCATCTGTAACACCTATTTACAAGAAAGGTGATAAACTAGATCCCAACAATTACAGGCCCATCAGCTTAGTACCTATATGTGCCAAAATTATGGAAAGGATAATTTTAGATCAACTTCTACCATTTCTCATTGAAAATGACACGATACCTCCGGCTCAACATGGATTTCTTCCTGGAAGATCTACAACAACAAATCTACTTTGCTGCCTAGACAATTGGACGAGAGCTCTAGACTCTTCAGCTCCAGTAGACATTATTTTTCTGGACTTCTCTAGAGCCTTCGACAAGGTACCCAAGAATAAACTTGTTTTCAAACTCGAACATTTTGGAGTTCGGGGCGCCCTTTCGAAGTGGATAGATGGATTCCTCAGCAATAGGAAGTACAGAGTCAGAGTTGGTTCTTCATTTTCAAATTACTACGATGTCCTATCAGGGGTGCCTCAGGGATCTGTCCTTGGACCGACGTTGTTTCTATTATATGCCTCAGACTTGAAAAATGTCATCTCTTCGGACCATTCATTTTTCGCTGATGACAGTAAATTTTTTGGAAATCCAGCAACCAGTCATGCTCAGCTACAAACCGATCTTGCTTGCCTAGAACAATGGTGCTCTGATTGGGACATCCCCTTGAACGACAGCAAATGTTGTGTGCTACATCTTGGTAACAACAATCCATCCCTCAACTACCGTTTATTCAACAATACAGTACCATCCGTGGATGAACAACGTGATCTAGGTATCACCATCAACAAAAAACTCTCCTGGTCGAGTCATGTAACAGATGTTGTACACAAAGCAAATAGTCGCATCTATCTACTGCGCAAGTGTTTCACCAATCCTAATCCCCAACTATTTGGTCAACTATACAAGTCGTATATACGTCCTCTACTAGAGTATGGTGTTCAAATATGGTCCCCACACCTAGTGAAAGACATCCAACTTTTAGAGAGAACTCAACGTCTTGCCACCCGAATGGTACCCTCACTCAGACACTTATCTTACGAAGATAGATTAACCCGATTGAAGATTCCATTTCTCGAAGAAAGACGAGCCAGAGGAGATGCTATTCTGACATACCGCATACTGCACTATACATTCTCCATTGACATGCAGCATATTTTTGAGCTGAACACTGACCCCAGGCTGAGAGGCCATGGCATGAAGCTCAAACGCGAAAACTTCAAGTCCACCGTTAGGCAAAACTTTTTCGCCAACAGAGTATTCGGGCTATGGAATTCACTCCCAGAGGCCGTTGTGACAGCTCCAAGCATAAACAGTTTCAAAAATGGTTTCGACGCGTTCTAGTGTTCCAGCTTCTGACTGTACCAACTGTGCTGATGTTCCTCATTGTCTATATTAGCAATTTCGATTATTATGTTCATACGATACCACTCACTTGTATTGTTAGGTTAATTTTGTATACTCATGGGCATAATAGGCTTTGCCTCTGCCCTTATTGTCAGTTAATAATAATAATAATAATAATAATAATAATTTATTTATGTGCCAAAATGTACCGTTTGTCCGTGAGAAGGGTTCAAAATTCACATAAAAAAACACATTTTTGTACGCTGTTCAGAAACAAGTGAAACGAATTTGATGAAATTTGTCATTAGTGTATTTCAGAGGATTAGTTTCCTTTTGGTAATCGAAGAAATCTGAAAGAAATTGTAGAAGGGTTAAAACCACCCTCACCTCCTGAATTTTTGTCAGAACTTTTTTAGGGGTCATAATTGAAATTTTTTGAGCTTGAAGACTAATCAATTACCTTAATTTTATTGCTCTTGTGAAAATTTCTTATACCGCATAGTTTCGAAGAAAAAAATGTTCTCTCAAATAATGCTACCAGATATTCCCAGTACAAGTTTGATCAAATTGTGATATAATACTTAGTTGGCAGTGGAAACGAAGGCAAGTCGTGATTTTGACAGGAAACAAATTTATTGTCATTCAAGTTTGTTGTTGGAAGGGGACAAGAAGCACCTATTCAATGACCTCCGCGGTCTCCAGATTTGAATCCGTGCGACTTCTTCATCTGGTGAGCGTTGAAAACACAAGTGTATGAAGTTCAAATTGATTCTTCCGAACAACTGTGGAACAGAATCCAAAATGCCGTTGACGCACTACGAGACAACGACGATGTCCTAATAAGGAGGGTGCATTTCAATTTTTTACGTCGAATTGATACGTTCTGCTTTTGTTTCCACTGCCAACTAAGTTTTATAACACAATTTCATTAAACTTGTACTCTTGTACTATAGGAGTATCTGGTAGCATTATTTGAGAGAACATTTTTCTTCTTCGAAACTATGCGGGTCACTACTGTATGGCTTCGAAAAAAATCTGAAAAATCATATAAGCTTCATTATCCAATATTTTGAATGCAGGGTGTTTGTAAAGGTTTCTGCGATTTGAAAATATCATTACTGATTAAGTTCATTCAACATGGTTTAACTAAAAACAATATTTTATTCTTAGATTCTCCTTGCAAAAAACAGAACTTTTTCATTAACTGATGGAAGGCAATAGAACTAAGTTTATCTTTCCACTCTGATGGTCCACAACTATGAATGTTTGTAATCTGTGACCTAGAAAAGGAATGTGGGATGATTAATTTGAAAATATCAATTCACAAAATTATTTTGGGAGCGCTGAACACCCAATACATGCTTACATGGAATGCACTTTCTACTAACTAATCATTTTTGATGATTCTGAAATAAAAATGACGCTTTTTGAAATTCAAATGACTATTCTGAAATACAAATGCCATTTTCTGAAATTCGAATGACTATTCTGAAATACGATTGACTTTCTGAAATACAAATGACTATTTTGAAATTTAAATGAATATTCTGATATACAATTGACGTTTTCTGAAATTGAATTGGGATTGGAGAAGGTGTAGTACTAACATAAAATAATTATTAATTGTGGAGATGACTGGGAGTTTCACTATTACTTTAGATAAAATAGCTTGTTTTAAAGACATTCTAGAAAAGGAAATATAGGGAAATTATGCTTTCGTCATAGATATAATCGTCGACTATGTTTTGGTATAATTTTTCATCACAAATCGTATGTATAAAACTGGAATGGAAACGGAAATAAGATAGTTAGTATCAAAATGTATTTTTATGAACACACAATTTTTATTAAATCTTAGTTTGTAATTTGTAGGCAGGGTGTTCTGTTTTTTGAAAATAACACAGAATCTGGTATTGATATATAACAATAAAATTTCAAATGATCAATTATTTGTAGTGTTTTTCAAAGGGGGCAAGAAATTATGATTTTGGGAGAATATTATTGTTTATTGTCAGCTCAATCAAAATAAACGAAGCCATGTTCGATGTTTCAACTATACCAGATAGGTATATTGCATCTCTATCCTTCTCGATTACTCTGTGATCACATCTATAACATCTTAAAAAAATGTTTTCAAAAAGGAGAAAAGTTTGTTATTCAAAAGTTAGAGATTGTAGTTAAAAAATTATAGTTAGAGTAGTAGTGTACAAATTACAAACCACATATTACAGAGATTTATATTTAATATTAAAATAGGGGTTGTGTTGCGTTACGTATCCGTAACGTTAGTGCCTTTTCGAAAGTCGAGCGAGACACTGTTGCATCAGTGCAATCATCATCATTGTCGCCATAAAAGAACTGGTATGAAGAAATAGTGCTCAGTAAAGAAAGAATACACCAGAAATCTAGGCATCATTCAATAAACTGAACTTGGTCCTCAATGTATGGGCCTGCTTTACATAAAACAATTGGACATTTGTATTGTACCTACAGACACAAATCTACTTCATTGCAACAAACAGTTTTGTTTTTTCTACAAATGTCAAAATATGACAAGGTTCGCGCCTTGATAACAATATGCGAAGTGGCACTTTTTTCATTTTCCTACGTTACCATGACAGTGTGCACGAAATAGTGTGCAAAGTAGAATGGTGCGAAAAAAGAATACTATATGGGATTTTTGTATCTCAGCCTTTATGGTCCTCAACCAAGCAAAAATTCAAGCGATCATTTAAAATAACTATCAATATGATCAGTGTGTTTCAGAAACAAAAATCATTTTGGACAGTAGGTACCGTGCGTTTTTATTGAAATAAAAAGGGGACGATTATTCATGTAGGTAATCTAGTTAGGATTTTTTTTTTGCACGAAAACTAACTTCATGATATTGTTCTTCATGACTTTAAACCCGCATCTTTGAATTTTCATGATATTTCCATTGGAGGTTTCGAAAAATCAGGCACGTCTGAACAGCATTCATTATCCTTTTGAGGTAAAAAATGGAAAAATAAAGCCAATCCTGGTAATTCTGAATGGGGTGAATTTTCGCATATGGACATTGAAAAGCATGAGGAATAATATTATGAACTTAGTTTTCCTGCAATGTCCTGATATGATTTCATAAAAAATCGACTATTATTTCAATAAAATCGAACGGCACTGTCGATAGTGATGTTGGTCTCTATTAGCAATTTAAAAAAAATCCGCCACTGGAATCAGCATCCTCTGAAATAGGTCTGAACCAGTGAATTACTGACAAGTAGTTTATCATGCTTTGAGAATCTTTTTATGTTGTAATAATCATAATAGAAGGCTTTGCAATTTACCACAGATAACCGTAGATTAATGCAGTTCCCTACCAGATCTCTTAACTCCCCTAGATTTTATTCTAAGGGAGATCAATAAAAAAAAAGGTGAAAATCCAGAATTTGAAATCA